TGCAGTGCGCAGAGAAGGCCCCTCGGGTCGCCCGAGACGCATGCCCCGGCCTGTCCCCTGTCGCCCCCCCCGACCCCTTCGTCCCCCACATGCACATGCACACACCCATGTCCATATCGTAAGGCGCAGGAGTGCTAAGCACGGGCGAGCCACTCCCCTCAGTGCCACCCCTCGCGCCAAGCCACTACGTTTCCCCCCACCGGTGACAATGTGTCGTTCCGTGACCTACCGCGACGAGAAATCACTGCAAACAGGACCATCACCTGCGCAGCTGCCTTGCCTAATTGTATCTCCTCGTAGCGTACGAAGTGCGTCGCCCTCGTGCCTCGTTTCGGTTCATTCGATGCTGCAGGCCAGTCGAAATTAATTCGCGCCGCGACGCTGTCAAGAGGCGGCGAGGACGCCGTCGTTTTGTTTTTTGTTTTGACATTGCTAGGTAGGGGGGGAGAGAGAGATTTTTAGCAATACCATGTTGTGAGAGAGAACTCTTCCCCATGTCCATGTCCATGTCCATGTCCATGTCCATCTCCATGTCCATAGGGGCAGGTCCGGCCAAGCAAAAAAAGAATACACCGCTGCGGGCGTCGCTGGCACTGGCACCTCCCGAGCAAGTGTCAGTCAGTGAGTGCGCGCCAGTGTCGTGAGAGGGAGCTTTGAGAGTCGCCCATTTTTAGAAGCCAACAAGAAATGTGGCACACAGAGTGATTTGGGCTCGGCAGCTTGTCGACTACCGGCCGAAGCCAGAGAGTCGCCACCGCGAGCCCATCCGGCGCAGTTTTTCTTCTTTAGAGCACTCCACCGCCATACCGTTTTTATGGCGGATGTCCTCTGCTTAGGTTATCAACCGCGCCGGAGCACTTGGAGGACTCATTAACCTCACGCCCTGAAGGGCGTCGAATATATTGGATATATTTTTTGCGAAGGGCGACGACGACGACTCGCTCGAGTGCGCGGGCTCGGATTGCGAATGGCTCAGGGCTGCCCTTCCTTCAAGGAGCTCGGGCTCGACCTGCGGCTGCTCAAGGCGGTCCAGAAGCTTGGCCTCGAGACACCCACGCCCGTCCAGGCCCGCTGCATCCCGCTCGCGCTCGCCGGCAAGGATGTCCTCGCAAAGGCGCCGACCGGCTCAGGAAAGACATACGCGTATGTGGTGCCGATGCTGCAAAAGGTGCTGACGCGGCAGGACGCGGCTCCGGGACCGACCCTCTCGCCCGGCGCGCTCGTCCTCGTGCCGACGCGCGAGCTGTGCCAGCAGGTCTACGGGGTGGCGCGTGGGCTGCTCGGCGCCGCCGGCGCAGGCTCAATGCGCGTCTCTCTGCTCGCCGCGGCGGCGGACGGCGCGGCGATGCGGGCGGGACGGCAGCCGGACGTGCTGGTCGCGACACCCGCGCAGCTGCTCGCCCATTTGGCGGCGGAGGGCGGCGGCGGCGGCGGCGGCGGCGGCGGCGGCGGCGGCGGCGGCGGCGGCGGCGGCGGCGGCGGCGGGACGCTGCAGCGGCTGCACACTCTGGTGGTTGACGAGGCGGATCTGCTCCTCTCGTACGGCTACGGCGAGGACATGGCGGCGCTCGGGGAGAAGCTCCCGCCCTCGGTGAGACAGACAGACACACACACACACACACGCACACACACACACGCACACACACACACTCGCACATTGCCCACGCGCGCACACACACACACGCACTCGCACATTGCCCACGCGCGCACACACACACACGCACTCGCACATTGCCCACGCGCGCACACACACACG